CCCCAAAACCCCAAAACCCCAAAACCCCAAAACCCCTTTAATAAAGATTATATATTTCTAAAAGTAAGTATGCCTACTTCCCTATGTTGCTAAATATTATAGAGGAATCAGGCTAAATGAGCAGGAACCAACGAGAGAGGTAAGACCTTCAGAATTATGCCTTAGAATCTTCAGCTTTGACCGTAACGAGTTCTACAAGAACCCAGATAAAGGATTTGATGTACCCCCTCTGTGTTTTGAGCAACTTGACCAAAATGGCTGGACTACCTTTGCCAAAGCTATATTGACCAAGGAGAATGGGCTTCAAAAGTATGTGGAGTATGCCAAGAAGCACAAAATGGGGGTAAGTCATCCTACATTAAGCCCTTTTATTTCCTAGATAGAGATCTAATCCTGTAGATCGCCAAGAGAAAATTATTCGCAACCTATGAAAAATAAACCAACCAAGAAATTTGTGAAGATAAGTGATGAAAAAGATACCAAGCTTGAGTAAGTCCCCTTTTCAAATGCAAATTCTCCATTGAGTTATCTGGAACTTTGAGTAATGGATTTATAGTAAATCTCTGCAAAGCAAGAGAGAGCATAGTCAGAAGAAACCTAAGAAGAAATCCTTGCCGAGTAAGTAGGGTGCTAATCCTTTAACAAATCCCAATCAATGCTCAGAAAATTCTTCAGGGATTAGCCTCGATATCCTTATGACTCAACTCCTCGGAGACGAATTGATTCCTATTCCATGCATATTCCATAGAGGAACAATTTGAGTTCTTCTAGGGAAAGTAGAGATGTCTATTTTAGTATATTTTCTATACTTCTTTTTATTGTAAGCTCTTCTAACAATTTATTCGCATCCAACTCTATTCCTATTGAAAGTTGGTAACAAATTTATATTGCCAAATCTCAACATCTCAAACTCTTCAATTAAAGGAGCATTGGCATGTAGCTTTTTATAGTACATTAGAGAGCACACACTTTTTTGAGCAAAATGACTTTAAATTATTCTTTTAGTTGGTTTAAGCATGCCAATAAATTTCAAAGAAGTCGATCTATAATAAAATCTCCAGTTTTTATTGTATTTTAGAATTCATTTCCCCTAAAAAGAAACTATGAAAGAAGAGAAACCACTTGCAAGAAGAAAAAGAGCGTATTAAAAGTCAGAACTTTATCCTAAACTTCTAGAGATTCAAAAGAGAATGATTCAAGATAAACAGCTAGCTAAATAAGTCCAGGATGAATCTACTCAAGGTATTTTTAGATGTGCAAGATTTTTAGAAAAATTATAACAAAACAGAGCCCAGAGTCTCTCCTGTTAGAAGTCCTAGATCAGTGTATTATATGAGCGATAGACTCAACACTCTTGCTCAGCCAAGAGAGAACCAGAAAGGTAGTTTTTTGAAGATCATAGCTAATATTTTAGAAAATAGCACTTCCGTAATGGATCAAACCAGAAGTCAATCAAGAAATTCTCCCCAAACCAACAAACTCGAGTCTAAGGATGATGCTGCTGATGGAGAATGTGAAGAAGAGGATGAAATAAAGCAGTCTCCATCTCTCCCATACCTATACCACAAAGATATGGAATATTGTAAGTCTCTAGCTTTTAAATTATAGGTTCAGGCGACCCAAAACTCTCCTCACACAAAGATTCTCACAAAGATTCTACCTCAGAACCTCTGCTAGAGCCTACGAAAATCAAGAAACTCAGAGCTGAAGCCATGAAAATGATTTATTCCAAACATTAATCAATGCAGTGAGCTAGGTTAGGGGTTTTGGGGTTTTGGGGTTTTGGGGTTTTGGGG